TGATAAATTTGAAAGCATATTGAGATATGAATCGATCAGTATATTTTAAGTTTATCATGTGCAGTTATTCGACTTGCTTGATTTCATTATTTAGAGTTGATTGAGGCATCTCAAACTGCGCTAGAAGTATACAAAGGAACTGCAAACAAATTAAGAAGAGAAAGGTACTAAAAAGTCTGAAAGGTTTCAGATTTTAAATTGCGTCCAAAGGGGCGTTTTTTTAACGTTTTGTGTGTTACCTTTATTTATTAAATATCATGTTTTACGTACTCAAACTTTAAAATGCAGTTCAACAGCAATATCGCAAATTAATTTTAAAATGAGCATATATTTAGAATTTCCGATGCAGAGTCTCGCGCGCTGGAGATAATTTTTTTTTTTTTTCGTACAGTGTTGCCATTCTCTCTTTGAAATCGTTTAGTTTTTTTATCAAAAATTCGTTGAAGTGTTGCAAAATATGAAATCCATAATAAAACAAATTTCAAATTCAAATTAGGGCTTCCACATGCCCATATTCTATGGAAGATTACGTTATTCAAATTTTTATGGCTCTAGGTACCGATGTTTTATCACAATGAGAGAAACATACGTACATTTGTGCAGATTCTTCGTTATTTAATTTCTTTAAATATAAGACAGGGCGATAATATATGGTGGCAACGATTTGAAAGGTGATACAGCTTTTTAAAGTTTTCAACGCAGAATGCCAAAACGAAATTAATAGTCCTTCAGGCCAAATTGCGCTTTGGACTAAAAAAATATGTTCTGAATTTCGAGCAAGATGTTAATTGACACTTGGGAGTTATTTTAAACCAAATTTAATGAACATTATTATTTTTACAGAAAATAGTTTATTCAGAACGTATCAATTCTTACTGTAGAAAGTGTAAGCAGAAAATAAATTTACTACTGAAAGTGAACATTATTATGCAGAACGGAATTCTTACTGAATGTGCCTGAGGAAAATTTCTTCCGTAGCCGGTTTCCTAACATTGTATATTTTGTGTGAAACTCTTAAATATAATAAATTATTTTGTACGAAATTATGTATTTTTGTTTAATTCTTTAGGTCTAAAATGAATACATGAAATCAAAGAGAAATTTAATAAAATATTCTTAAACTAAGTATTTCCACGAAATGTTTAATTGAGTTCGCTAGTAAATGAACTAGCTGTATGCAGATGGGACCGGTAACTGTACGTCTGTTCTGCCGCAAACTCACTGCGCAGGCAGGGAAGCCAATTTACTTTGAGTTTCGGGGATCGTTGAAAATTAAGAAATGGACCATTATTTCTGGCTTATGTAGCCGAATGGGTTGGAATTTGAATAAACTAGCATAAAGAGTATCGTAAGTAGGTTTAATTCTATGTCTGTTTTCTTTGTTAAAAATAAGTATGAAAGTATTAAGTGCCTCGGTTAATTTTTCATCGCCTAAAACTAGTACTAAGAATCTCTTAAGGGGGACTTATACACCTTAAAACCCATAAGACCTTCGAATATGTGACTGTTGCAAGAATTGAGAAAACTTATTTTATTTTAAGACTTCTTCTTTTTACCTGACTACTTTTTCTGCCTGACGTTTGTGTACTCAAATACTTTATAATTTAACGCTTTGTGACAAAAATTTTCGTCATGTTTCCACCTGCGCGCACAGTTTAAAACATTCTGTTGCATAATTTAATTCCATTTTAAATATAAATTTTATAACATTGGAAACTATTGTGAACCAAAAATTCTAAGAATGTTAAATTAAATTTTTATTTCGAGTGAGTTTATAAAATGTATTTATTAAAAAAATGTGTAATGTTTTCGCGCATATTTTTTTTTAATATTAAAATATTCATCAGAGTTAAAAAAAATAATGCCCATATAAAGAATTTCATCAAATTTCAAGTATGTACCATTAACTATTTTTAAAATATCATGCGCGCAAGGTGAAAACATAACGAAACATTTTGTCACAAAGCGGATTAAATTACAAAAATTTTTATGGCAACACAAACTTTCTGGTTGCTTGTTTCCAAAACAGCTGTATTGTGTAGTCAGCTGTAAAACGTTGGAAGTAATTGCTTTTAAAATAAATAAAATATCCCATGAAACAGTCATATATTCGAAGATCTAAGCGGTTTAAGGTGTATGAGCCCCCTTCAGTTAATCAATTGAAAGAAAATTTTTTTAACGACATCCGTATGTAATTAAAAATAAAGAAATTGCAGCTGAAATCAAGACATTACGTAGTGTCCCTTTTACATTACATTTGCATACTGTCCTTTAATTTCAATGTTTTTAGAAGTTATTTAATAATTATACAAGATGATTTCTAGAAAGTTGTGTGGTTTTATTAAATGTGTCTTGATTCGGGCTAACTTTCTGACGGATTGTGTGTCTTGACTGAATGCCTAAAAATGAGACAAAATGGCTATCTAAGGTATTAATATCAATTGAATTCTGTCTCTCACACGGAATATAATTTCGCTGATACGTAATAACTTAAATAATTCCATTTCTCAATTTGTTTACTATTTTAATTAACTGAAATCCAGTAAATATAAATTCAGGTAGCGCATAGTTTATTTCCTGTATAAATTTTTTTATACTCTAGTGCTTGATTTATTCACGGTCCAAGCTGACTTTTAATTTCTGAATTTTAGTTATTTTAAAGAAAAAAATCTGATGTGTACACCACATGACTTCCTTGTATGGAATATTAAATTATACGCAATTTTCCCTGCATTTCATTTAAACTTATTTCCTCGAATTTAATTAGAGATATATTTCTCATTCATTTAATACAGTTCTCGCTTCAAGGCAAAAATGCACAAAAACTCAAAATATCTTCATTAAAAATTGAAAGCTATAGAATAACATAAAACACCAAATACAGTTAAAACAACTAAAAAAATTTACAATTAAAATTAGAGTTTCTACGCAAAGACGAGCAAATCGGCCAGCAGGCAAGAAGGCAGATTTTTCGATGCACAAAACTGAGTTCCCGTTTAGTTGCACTCGACAAAAAGACACATTCGTATAAAGCAAATTAAAATTTAAATTATGAAAATTCAATTGCAAACAAAATAAATTGATTAATTATTACTGCGAACTAATTTGCAATATCATTAAATTCAGAAAACATAAGTACATAAAATGTAAGTATGTGAATACAGTACGTACTTGCACTTTATTTACTTATATGTTCTGAATTTAATGATATTGCAAATTAGTTCGCAGCTATAATGAATCAATTTATTTTCTTTGCAATTGAGTTTGCGTAATTTCAAATTTTAATTTGCTTTATATGAATGAGATTCTAATAATGTATTTATTAAATTCATATTTCATTCCTTGCGCCATTGGCGAAAGAGAAAGGGAGTTGCACAACTACATGTTATAGCAGTCCTATATACAAAATTTCATTTCATGGATATTTTCGTTGTAATATGATATCCGGAATTTTTCGTCATTACTAATTCTTCTTTTACTTCGTACGAAGAAGTAAAAATATTGCGCTGTTTTAGTGTTTAATATAGTTCCAGTATCACTAAAGTTCCTGTTAAATTAATTCTGTATAAAACTAGAAGAAATTGCGAAATTCTAAAAATAAGTCAAGAGTTTGATTACAAAAGTAGAACTAAAATCGCATTGTGAAGATACAGAATAATTTTATTGAAATAATTTATTGAACGCTGTGACAACAGCCGGCATTATTGGGGCTAGTGTTCCGCCTTTGGGAGGGGGGAATGTTAACAACCCTTGATGTGTTCTCGCTTTCTGTGTTTCTATTAACAACTCCTTAAATATCTGAATCTATATGAAAGAAATCATTGTTTCAAATGCTTCCCTAACGTGCATTTAAAAGCTGTGGTGCAATTCTCATTTAGCTCATAAGGACTGATGAAGTATAACAAGTATATTATAAAGAAAATTGCTGGAGCAATCCTCATATTCCCTGACAGAAAAGGCTGTTATCTCCACTATCAAATAAACCTCTTTTATGCGACTGGTCATTGCTTTCGGGAGCTCCGTCTCTGTTGAGCTGTTTTAGCTCCTGCTCCTGAGCTAGAACTCTCTCTTTTCCCGTACTAGTAAATACTTTATGAATAATGCCATATTACTTTGAATTCATAGCTCTTTTTTTAACTGAAATGTTTGAGGCCTAAAATTAGGTGCGGTTTTAAGAGGAATTTTTTAGCATCATACTTCTGCCGATCTCCCAGTTCCCAAGGAATACCGCTTTACGCATTATTCAAAACGTTGCATTATTAATAATTTAAATGACACTGAAGATGGGTATGGTTTTCTGCTGCAGTTTGAAGATTAGAATTCGAGTTGGGCAGGTAAAAATGTCGAATGTGATAGTGTATCTGAAAAGTTTCTCATTAAATTATATAACTTTACGAATGAGTTCAAATATTAACGTTCGCTCAAAAGGACTGTTTTAGACAAAAACAAAAAGTTTAATATCATTTAATCAGCAGAGTTTGTCAATAGAGGTGGTCCAGGTCTAATAGCGAAACATTTCATAAGATACCAGATAGATGTACATTTAAACTAACATGGAAATATTGTATATCTTCTGTATATTTGAAAAGTGAAAAAAATATATAGCGTAATTTTATAAAAAATATTGTTACGAATTGTGTATTTAGTTAGATATTTTTTGTAGAATTATAATTAAAATTGTTTTATTTCCCCGCACAATGCAGCGCGTGATAAATTTTAAGAGTAAAAATAATTTTCTAGGAAATCTAATCTTTCTAGTAAAAATAATTTCTCTCTAGTAAAAATTCTAATCTTTCTAGTAAAAACTCTAATATTTCTAGTAGAAAATTCTAATCTTTCTAGTAAAAATAATTTCTCGCTACTCCGAGAAAGTAAAAATAGAAGAGCACATGCATTTAACATTGAATAAATGGATATCTCTTTAATTTATATTTAAATTGAATAAATGTAATTTACTACTGTGTTAGCTGTAATCGAAATTTTACTCTTTTGCTTTCCAGGAATCTCGAGAAGCAAAGAAATTACTAGAACTCTCTCGCGACCAATTGAAAACTTAAAACCGGACAGAAACATCTCAGCTCAGTTGTTTAGTGAGCTGTTGTTGTTGATTGTAGCGAATTCGCGCTGAGGTAGGATTAGCTTTCTTCTTTGCATTGCATTGTATTCTAACGTTTTTAGTAATTTGGAGAATAACTACTGATTATATTGCGTAATATTGTGTACTTACACGAATATCTCTGAGAAAATTCCAGCGTTTTGTTATGTTTCTTGTGATAAGAATAAATTTTATTAACCTTTTATCGGACTTGTGCATTCAATCTATTACAAATCCGTATGCATGTAGCAATATATAATATTTTTAATTAGATATCACGTAAAATTAATCTTAGCGGAAATGTCAGCATATCAAGCGTCATAGTTAATAATAATAATAATAACAATGATAATAGTAGTAAAGACAAAGGAAATTAGACCCAGAATGAGTTTAAATTTTAGTTTTCTGAAATAATAATGTTCATTAAAGGCTTCTACCGTTTTAGATTAAGAGCTTTGAATATGAAACACTTTTACGAACTCTTAAAATAAAAAATCTCATGTGTACACCACATGACTTCCTTGTACGGAATATTAAATTATACGCATTTGTTTCTTGCATTTCTTTTAAACTTATTGGATTGAATTAAATCTACTTCGTCGACAGCGCATAAACCACAATAGAATAAATGCACTCTTTAAAATTCACTATATTTGTTTACTATAACGACACTCTGAATGCACAAAATTTATATCATTTGAAGAATTATCGTTGCCACATGTTCTATTCAAATACTATAATAAGCTAAAACGATGTATGAAAGAAATTAAGCAAAACAAAACAGAAAAGAAACAGAACAGTTTTTTCACAGACGATTTAGTATTTCTCATTCAATTAATTCAGCTCTCACTTCGCGACAAGGCAAAAATACATAAAAACTCAAAATATCTGCATAAAAAATTACGAAGTAAATCTTAAACACTTATTTACTCGAAAAAATTCCAGAAAGGATTAAGCATGATTTAATTCGCAATAATAAATGAAGGCGTTATTTTTGTGTTGCGAAGCTTAGTCTCTCTAGATTGGCAACAAATCTACAATTCTGCTGTTTCAAATGTAAACAAATATGTCCGCCATGTTATTTAAAACTTAACCGCACTTAAACAGCTTTTAAATTGTTGATAATTGTACAAATATTGCTTCCAGAATTACGAAAGGCATAAAATCTTAACCGGAAGATAAAAACAACATAATTCAATCATTTTTAAAGCAAAAAAATGTACAATTTACAAACATATAAGAGTAAAGATACTGAGATCACTGAGCCGGTAACAAAGTGGATATATATATAAATATATTTATATACGTTTGGTGCGGCCGATTGCAACCAAAATACGAGGTGCACATCTACATGTTATAGCAGTCCTATATACAAAATTTCAACGTTCTGAGGCTACTCGTTTTTGAGTTATGAGAGAGACGTACGTACGTTCGTACAGACGCCACGAAAAATTCTCTTCAGAATTAATTTTAGAGCAGTTTTATAATTTTTTTGGAGGAAAGGTGTCTTTTATTCTGTCCTTACGCACAGATATCACGCAAAAACATCGTTAAATTGCATTCGAAAGCGGTCAAAGTGAATATTTTCGTTGAAATATGCTGCCTGAAGCTTTTCGCGACTACAATACTTCCTTTTTACTTCGTAAAAGGAAGTAAAAAGGTTTTGGTATTTTTTGGAGAAAAATTTAAAGTTCCATTTTAATGTTTATCCCTTAAAATAATCTCCTCATTCTATATTTTTCTCCTATATTTATTTGAAATTCGTCCTATATTTTATTGATAATTCTTCCTATATTTATTTGATTCCTCCTATTTTATTTATTGGAAAAAATTCTGGTAAAATGTAAACAATTTAAAACTATTACTCAGATATTTTTGGCAATTATTTTGAGAGAAGCAATTTCAAAATTCAAGTGTTTAAACTGCCTCATGTCAACTTGAGTTTTATCTTCGTACTAAATATCAGTATGTTTTTGAAAAGTCTATTTTAAAAAATTTTTTAAACACAAATTTTACATTTGGCTTTAATTGAAAACTTATAATGTATAAAGTTAATGTTTGTATACTGTTTTAATGTATTAATACATAAACTAAAAGTATATTTCTTTTCCGCTGTTCCTACTATTGTTATAGGAAGAATTCGAGAGAACTTTTTAAGATTCGGATTTGAGAAAATTTAGGATTTGTCCCACCTATGATTTTTCTTAATAAATAGTGATTTTAAATAATGATAGCTACCTGACACGGCGATTTCTTTTCTCAGATATGTTTATGTTTTGACGTTATATACAAAAGTGTTCGAGAAAAACAGCTACAAGCTTTATTACCTTAAATACTAATCATGTACATATACTTCCAGTGGCAAAATTTCAAAATAAGCTTGAGAATTTATGAAAACCTTTTCAACACTGCAGATGGGTGATTTCATTAAAAATGAAATCCAACGTTCTGTCTAATCCCATAAAGCAAAAATTCCAGTTATATATTTCTTAAAGCATATATTCATTCATAATGCTATTAAAGCATAATATTTATTAACACAAGGAAAATGTTTTATTGATTTCGGAAAGAAAAGGTTACATTTGTAGAAGCTGCTCTCTAAAAGTTTTTTGTCTTGAATTTAATTGCTAATAATTGCTGAAAATTGGCCTAAATAAGAAAATTCATTCTCTGCGAATTTTACATGTAAAAATATAGGTCACTTTGATTCTAATTTCCAAAGCATAATTAGTATTTTACTTTTTGGATGAACGCATAAAAATTTCAAATATTCTCCCCCCCCCCTAACTTACAGTGTGGAAACTATTTTCATAAAATTCTTTCTTTATTTTTAACAATGAGGTATTACGAAGTACTTTTTTTTAACGATCTATATGTTTTTATGAATTATAGCGGTGATTACGGAAGATTATGGACTTTTGCATGCTATTCTGTTTGGCGAACTCTTGATTTTATGAACATTTTTTGCGGTATGGCGGTGTATAGGAGTTCGTAAAACTGAGTCTACTGTGATTGGAAAGTTCTTGTCTAGGATGACTGTTTTAATAAATAAAGTTTACAGTCAACTTTTTTTTTGGGGGGGGGAACGAAACTTTTTTAAATAGATTTATTTTGCTTTCAGTTAACACAATGATATTTTCAGCCATACGAAGTTTAATTTTTCTGTTGATTAAAATTTATAACATTGGTTTAGAATTCATAATATCCAGAACCCGAAATTTTTATTCTGTTCAGCACAAAATTTCATAGTTATATGTCTTTCCATTAGTATCCAAATTGATGGATTCATTGAATACCGGCAGTTTGTCCTCTGAGCGAGATGGCGTATGAAAATTTCATAGTTTTCCTTAAGATAAACAGGAATAAATATTTCACTTAGGAGGTCTTCTACGAAGGGAACCATTTTATGCTGCACAGCCTAAATCATTTAATTAATTTAGATTATTCGCGCAAACGAAATTTTTATGTAAAATACAAAACGAAGTAAAAATTATTTTTGTAGCCCAATGGTTTAACAACCCGTAATCCGTAAGCAATTACCCTGCTCAAAAGGTGTATTAAATTAATTTTACCATTTAAGTGGCCATGCAGACAGAAGAGCATATTTCTCTCTCCCCCAAATTTATGTTTTGGCCGTTTTTTTACTTGAAACATAACAAACGGATTATTTTATCCCGGGCGAGCACATATGTGTGGATGAGTCAACTATAAAATTCAAGGGTCGAATTTCGTTCAAACTTTCATTATAGCAGTTATTGACCCTGCAGCCATATCCATAAAAAATATTGGTTTCAGTAGCGTTCTCAAAGATATTTTGCCTTAGGGCTTGAACTTAATGTGTGCCCTACCGCCTTATTACGTAAAGTTCATGTGTTCCGTTATGAAATACTTCTAAAAGTATTTTCATCGCTTGCTTTTTTCTTTCATGTAAATTCCACAATCAATTGCCCTTTCCCATAATTATATATTTCAGTTTTCCTTAAATATACTTACCTTTCGACATATGTCACCGACTTTCGGCTTTTTCCCATTCGTATTAGGAATGAAAATTGCACTAACTTAATTGTGTTTTTGCGTTACGCTATGTAAACACTACCCTTCGCTGTTTCTCCCTGAACGGTGAGGTGCTATTATCCATTTGTTACGGCGTGCGTTGTTCTCTAACAATCTGCTCGTTCTTAGCGGTTGAAACTGTTTTCAATAAAACAAATTTGCAGCATGAAAAATAATACTGGGGACATTGTTATTTTTTCGCATATAAATCGTTTCTAAAAGTTTCAGAGATCGAATAAAAGTAGCTAAGGTATTTTAAAGAAGTTAAACAATTATGTACCGAGGTGCGTAATATTTGGTTAGTTTCGAAAAGCTTTTCGTTATTTACAGTAATGCTGCAATTGTTCATAAAAATATCATTTGGTTATTAGTACAGGCGCTCTCTACCTTACGAATGAATTATGTTCCGACCTTAAAAATGCTAAAAAAATTAATAATATATTTTTAATTTGGAATACAGAATATTCATTGTAAGTAAAAAATTATAAAGAATTACTTTAATGTACAGTACGTATTTGATTCCTGAAGTGCCTTTCCTAAAAAAAAGGGGGGGGAAGAAAAGCCTAAACTTGTCTGAACAAATCCTTTTTGCTTCCTTGTACAAAGTAAAAAGGAAGTATTGTAAAAGCGAAAAGTTTCAGGCAGCATATTTCAACGAAAATATCCATTTTGAATGCTATCGAATGCAATTTAACGATGCTTTTGCGTGATATCTGTACGTAAGGACAGACTAAAAGACTCGTTTCCTCCAAAAAAATTATAAAACTGCTTTAAAATGAATTCTGAAGAGAATTTTTCGTGGCGTCTGTACGAACGTATGTACGTACGTAAGTATCTCGCAGAACTCAAAAACGAGTAACCTAAGAACGTTGAAATTTTGTATATAGGACTACTATAACATGTAGATGTGCACCTTGTATTTTGGTTGCAATCGGCCGCACCAAACGTATATAAATATATTTATATATATATCCACTCTGT